CTAACAAATGTCCAAGTCTCTCCACCACATATCAGTAAGTTTGTCATTTTAAGCAAGAGAGAAATTATGTTTACAATGAATGAGGATTAAGCTACGAGAGCAATTTGGAAATAAACCTCCATTTGGTTATCAATAACAGACACTCGCAGATATAGAACTTTTATTATACACATTAAGAAACTACAACATTACATTACTTTTCGACATAATCGCCATTCAAATTGAGGCACTTGTCATGACGTCTTACAAGGTTTGAAATTCCTTAGTAGTAGTCACTCGGTGCCAAATCTGGGCTATAGGGGGAGTGATCAAAAACATCCCAACAGAACTGCTTCAAAAGTTCTTGGGTGCATCTAGCGGTGTGTAGGCGAGCATTATCATGAACCAACACCACACGGGAAGTCAGCACGCCCCAACGCTTGTTATGAATGACTTGTCTGAATTTTCGTAACATTTCAGAGTAGACGTCTGAATTGATGGTCGAACGATGCTCTATGAACTTCACTAGCAGTACTACTTTGGCATCTTCACATTTGGCATGATTTTCTATGGTTCACTATAATGCTTACCCACACATCACTAGATGCACCCAAGAACCTCTGAAGCAATTCTGTTGGGATGTTCTTGATTAGCCTCCCCTATAGCCCAGATTTGGCGCCAAGCAACAACTACTAAGGAATTTCAAACCTTGTAAGACATCATGACAAATGCCTCAATTTGAATGGCGATTATGTCAAAAAGTAATGCAATGTTGTAGTTTTCTAATGTGTATAATAAAAGTTCTGTGCCTGCGAGTGTCTGTCATTGATAACCAAACGAAGGTTTATTTCCGAGTTGCCCTTGTATAAAAATGGACATAGCTTATCTGTTATCCAAAGAGTCAGAAAGTTTTATGTGGGCTGCAGCAAAATCTTGACTCTCTTTTGCTTGTTTTACCACAACTAAAATCCAGCACTTTTAAACACTCTCTTGCAGTCATATATTCTAAGGCATGAGAATTCATACAAATTTTCAGTATATTGTTACATTTGCAGTTTATCATTGCATTTGAAAATGTTCACCCAGGAAGAGACTTTTGGGAGAATGAGAGGCTGTCTTCCTGGTTTAAGACTCAACACCATCTGGAATTTTTAAAGTTCAAGTAACAAGACTTTTCAAGTATGCTTTTCTTTGATGCTTATTTGATCCAGTCCCAAAATCACTACAAGTAGTCCTTGACTTACAACCACAACTGAGCCCAATATTTCTTTTGATGAGACATTTGTTAAGTGAATTTTGCCCCATTTTATGACCTTTCTTGCCACAGCTGTTAAGTGGATCATCACAGTTGATAACTTAGTAATATTGATGTTAAGTGAATCTGGCTTCCCCATTGATTTTGCTTGCCAAAAGGTTGCAAAAGGTAGTAACGTGACCTTGGGACCCAGCAACAGTCCTAAGTATGAGTCAGTTGCCAAGCATCTGAATTTTGATCATATGATCATGAGGATGCTACAAAGGTTGTAAGTGTGAAAAACGGTCACAAGTCACTTTTTTCAGTTACCATTGTAACTTTGAATGGTCACTAAATGAACTGTTGTAAGTCGAGGACTAGCTGCATACCCATAGGTTCTAAAATTGGGGCGGAAGGAAGAAGAGGAATACGTTTTCTTCCAGTGTATCAGAAGGAGCTTCAAGAATGCAGCTTATTCTATTAATATAAGTTAGACCCAAAAACTTTGTAAGTTCACCTCTAGCACAAGTATCACGACTGCTGTGAGAGCCTATTGGGAGGCAATGAATATTCAGGAAAGCACTCCAATGGACCAGGGCCTCTTCAATCGACTTATTTCATAAACTTGAAAATTGGGCAACAAGAAACAAAGCTTCTTTGGGTATAGGACGCAGCTCAGTGGTTGACATTCAGTAAACGTAGCATCAACTAAGAAAGGGTTCAGAACAGAATCAGAAAAAGAACAACTGAGGGGATAAAGGGAAGAAGTGCTGCACAAATAATCATCAGAAACAAATTCTGGAATCTGTCTTAAAGCATAAATGTTCTAATGGGAACATTCCTCTAATGGGAGGAAGAGAGATGTAGCTTCCTCTAAAATCTGTTTAACAGATACAACCATGCTTTTTTCCAAGACTTAGTTTTAAATAACAACTTATTAGCCATCCATTTTAAACTTCCTGTGTATAAAGATTCTAAAGATATTTTTAAGTTTTGCAGGACGCAAAATTTCAGATTTCAGGGAATAGAGGCTGAATCCAAGACAAATTAATTCAAGAATATGAAACAAGCTTTTCAACCTAACAACAATAAATAAATTATAATAAATTATTAAGTTACCACTGCTTTCAAAAATGTCAGCAAGAAATTTACACTAAGTACCTTAAAGGACATATGCAAAAGACTTATCACATATAAAGAGGGCTATGTATTTTGTGGATGTTGCAAATACTTCTCAATAATGGAGAGCCAGTTTGAGTTTTGCTGGGGCAAATCTTGCTCTTCAAAATGAACTTTGAAACTGCACACAATTCTTTCTTACAAAATGTGATTTTCTGGGCTTAGGAAAAATGTGAGGAACTTGAATTTCTGCTCTTGACTTTTCATCCCAGCCTCAATGTAAGATAAGACTGAGGTGTTTCAAAATTTACTGCCTCATATTAAAAAGGTCCCAGAGGCCTTTCTTTTTTTCCCCTTTTTTGTTTGATAAGCCATAACTTTTTTGCTGACTCATCTAAGCCTAACTGCTATTGCTATCTTGGCTTTCCATTCTTGAGAAGGGCAATGGGTTGTAACCCCATCTGTAAGACCGGGACCGACTTCAGCTAGTCATTTCTGCCTAAAAGGGATACGCCAGTGCTTTTACAAGAGCTCTAACAACTCTGATGAATTCCAGTGTTAATAATAAAAATGGGAAGAAAAGCAAAATAAAATAAAATAAGTGGGAGAGATCTGTCCATTTTCAAATGGCTGATGGCCCCTTCAGTGGAAACCTTCCACATTGCTACCCGTGTCCCATTTGCATTCAAACAGAAGGCAAAAGCAATTTTTCCCAATCTGGCTAATTTTCCATTGCTTAATCAAACATATTCTGGCACCTTCCCATCCTCCCCACCCCCCAAAATGCTATCCAGCTTTTTTTTTAAGTGAGCAAGAAGTTGTATTTCAGCTTGCTATTCTTCGCCTCCCTGTCCCAACCACTCACATTCTGGCCTCCCAGAATTCCAAAGCTGGAATGGAACTGGGAGAATATATGAAATCCAACTTAGCACATGACCCACAATGCTATCCCAAGAGAGACAGGCGTCCAGCTTCAGCTGACATACCTCCAAGTAAAGAAAAGCTCAACCCTCCCAAACAACTATTTTATACCGCCAAATGCAGCTTGAGCTCAGACCTTTCTTACAAAAGCAGCATTCTTAAAGACACAGGAACCGGGAGCAGGTTTTGCTCATAAAATCTTGGAGACAGTGGCGATCTCACCCTCCCCCCCACATCCCCAAATGCCAAAAGGTAAACAAAACGTTAAACTGGCTCATAATTTCCCATGTTGGAAAATATGGATAGAAAAGAAAAGCACCCCAAAAATAGAAATTTGACAAGAAAAATAACATTCTTCATCCTTTAAGGAGCCTACAGTCCAGCTTCAGTGGATTCCAACTTCTTTTTTGGAACCAGGTGGGGTCAGGGGTGCCCATTTCTGTGCACAGTTGTGCTTCTGTTCAAGCCCGGGACTCTTTTCCGGAGGCCCAAGACAGCCAGAAAGGAAACACCAGGAGTCTTTTCCAGTGCAGCTTCCCCAGCTACAGGATACTGGTGACCCATTTCCTAATTTGGAGATGGGAAATAGAAAGATGGGTGGGAGGTGAAACCTCCCCCCCCTCCCCCCAAAGTGTGTAGACATTATTAAGGACAAAAATGTAGCATGTCTTTCTTTCTGCATATCCAAGATTGAACTATAATGCTAGATGTGCTGTGTGCTTATAATTAGGTACATGCGGACTGGTTTTGAACTCTAACATTCACTTTGCTTTAAAATCCAAAATGCACATTCTAGCTCTTATAATTGTAAGCCTGTCAACATATCCAAAGTTACCAAGGGAAGCTTGCATTATACCGATTCAGGAAAAACGTTTGGTAGACTAGGGGACTAGACTTCCATAATGGAAAATGAGCAAATATAGGTTGTCCTCGACTAACAACCATTCGTTTAGTGACTGTGCCAAGATACAACAGCATTCAAAAAAAGTAACTTACCACCAAGTCCTCACACTTATAACTTTTGCTGTATCCCCACAGTCACAAGATCGAAATTTAAGCACTTGGCAATTAGCATGTATTTACAATGACTGAACGACCCCGGGGGTTATAGGGTCACTATTTGCGAACTTCCCAGCTGGCTTCCCAACAAATGAAATCAACAGGAAGCTGGAATTCACTTAACAACTGCAGTGATTTGCTTAACAACTGACCACAGTTGCTGTTGTAAAATCAGGCAGGACTCACTTAACAGCTGCCTTGCTTAGCATGGGAAATTATGAAGTCCGTTGTTAAGTCGAGGGCTACCTATGTATACAACTGCGCTTAACTGCACAGATAAAACCATTTTTTTTTGTTTTTGTTTTTTTTAAATATAGACTATATGCAAAGCTTCCAATACAGGATATGAAAGAACAATCAAACTAAAACCCCTTAAGGTTGAGAGAGAGAGAGAGAGAGAAAAGAGAAAACGGGAATCTTCTAATTTACAATGCTATACCCCGTGTTTCCCCAAAAATAAAACCGGGTCCTGTATTAATTTTTGCTTCAAAAGACACATTAGGGCTTATTTTCCGGCTAGGTCTTATTTTGGGGGAAATACGGTACTAAATGCGTCCGTCTGGCTGACGATTTTAACTGGGGTTTATTTTTGGGGTGGGGCTTATATTACAAACATCCTGAAAAATCATGCTAGGGCTTATTTTCCAGTTGGGTCTTATTTTCGGAGAAACACGGTATTACCATCAGTGACAGCAGCATGACAGACAAGAACTCTCACTACGTAGAGGAATCTGCTTCTTGTTTCTGTTTGGAAAACAGCTGGGCCTCCTTCAGCGAGAGATACACTTCCTCTTGAGGGTCATAGTAGTAGAACTTGCGAATGTATGCAATCAGAGGCCTGATCAGGGAAGGGAAAGGAGATTCCAGTAAATTTTGGAGGTCCAAGAAATCAGAATAGACATACCAAGTAAATAGACTGATGAATCTCTCCCTCTCTTTTAATTAGGGAGTCCAGAAAAATTGAGTTTGCAGCACTCCTATCTCTACAGATCTTCATCTAACAAAACTTTGTGCAGGGATGTTTGAGTGTATAAAAGTGGCCAAGATCAACTGCATTCTACATTCTAACATGAGAGCTTGCAAAATTATGCTCAAAGATTTTAAAGGAAATAAACATTTTTTTTATAAAGATACCTTAACTTTTTGGTGCTTGCAGCATATACAGATGCAGACCTTTTTAGTTCCTGGTTCCCTTTCCTTGAGAAATTTATCATCTCTCTTTCTCCCGCTTAACTGGTTGTCATAATCTTTCTAAAGTGTTTCAACCTTGGTGTGAAATTTCTAACAATGTTTCGCAGTGAAACAACTTCCAAACAGCAAGGTCAAAACAGTTTGTTCCAACACCTGAACAGGATTTTTGAAGACCTTTGTTCTATGCATCCACCATCCTACAACCTCTCCATTAATGTAGAGAAACAGCTATTGTATTTTTTTACGTTGTGCCAAACTGGCCGACACTACTAATTTTATCATGAGTTGGACAAAGCAACAAATCTGATTCTTTAGCCAACCAGAGCTGAAAGGAGCACAAAGCAAAAGGGGGACCTACTTGGGAAGTGGGAGCTCGGCAATGTGATCGATGCGGACCAGTTGCCTTATCTGGAACCGGCAGAGGTGCTGTAGCGACTTGACATTGCTGAACCTAGAGACCGGATAGAGAAGTTGGACAGGAGTTGGAGGGAGACCTGTAAATTAAAAAAAAAAAATAGGCAGACATCAGGTTAGAAGAAAACATAACAGCATCAATTGAAAAATATTTTCCTCAGGATAAGAGAAAACAGCAAATGCTAGAATCCTGCAGCTGTTCTCTGAATTGATCATTGTGCTGCCCTCTGGTGGAGACCTGGCTCCATACAGTCTTATGTTGGGATGTACCATATTTATCGAGTGCTAGAATAAACAAGGCCAGAATCAAAAGGCTGGAAACCAGACAAGGTAAAAGCGCTTCTCCCACTGAAAAAAAGTGGTTCTAAATCCATTATGCCCTATGGTTGGGAGAGAGATGTAAGATTTGAATATGAGTTACTTGAGTCTTATTTCTTCAATTTGTATATCCCCCCCCACCCCCCCGGTCATCCCAACAACTGACTCTCAGCACTGAGAGCTTCCTGTAGCATTATTATTGTTATTTTTGTTGTTGTTGTTTTTAAGTACAGGTAGTCCTTGATGTACAACCACAGAACTTATGTTGCTAAGTGAGAAATTTGTTAGTGAGTTTTATCCCATTTTACGACCTTTCTTGCCACATTTGTTAAGAGAATCACTACACCTGTTAAATTAGTAACACGGTTGTCAAGTGAATCCCTCATTGATTTTGCTTATCAGAAGGTTGCAAAAGATGGCCACATGACCCTGGGACACACTGCCACTGTCATAAATATGAACCAATCGTCAAGCATCCAAATGTATATCACGTGACCATGGGTATGTTGCAACAGTCATAAGTATGAAAAAGTCACTTTTTTTCAGTGCGGTTGTAACTTCATTAAATGAGCTGTTTTAAGTTGAGGATTTATGTGTATAAAAATATTGGGATTCAGGGCATTTGAATTTTGCTAATTTCCCCTTGTACATTCAAGTTCTTTACAATTGTGAAACATGCTTATTCAGTGCATCTTTCTCTAACTGAATAATATGACCTGTGTATGATGTCAATTTTTATAGATGAATTGGAAGAACAACTTTTGGGTCAATGAATCACATATAATTTCTATGTCAAAGGTTGTAGATTAATTCACTGCTATTTGAGAGAATTTCCACTCAAGTGCAATGTAACTGATAAATGAAAGCTGTAAGCCAAAAGTGAAGGGCCAAAAGTGCTTCATCCTTGGCTTATATTTCAGCCTTTGAAGTGAAGAAGAATTACTGTACAACTTCACATTCCCAAATTATTTTAACCAGCAGGCCAGTTAAAAATGTCTAATGGAAATGCATGTATGGCAATGTTAGAATGGCTTCAGGAACAGGATAAACCAGATCTTCAAGTATATCTGAAGCACTTTTACTTTACAATCCGATTCCATACACTCAACTATTGCCTGGAATAATTTATTCTGGAAGTCAGAGCATTCTGTCCAATTCCTGTTGGATATTTCAGAATAGCTTTACTGTTTGGGGGAATACATGTTTTTGCCAACAAAAACTAAAAATAATTGCTGCTCATTCTATATCTTGGTTAATAAATACCACGACAAAAGAATATCTAAGAGCTACCTGAGTCGCCTCCAATACACACAAAGACACACGCGCGCACACACAAATACACACACACACACAAACACACTTACCTGGCACTCTCGATCGCAGGAAATAAAGGAACTTTCCATTTTTGGAATGCATGATAGCACGTTTAATAAACTCCACCACAGACTGGCAACGGTCCTCAAACTTCGGATGGCACCAAAGACTAAAGGTTCCTGAACCAAGAAGAACAGGTCCATTACAGAATGAGGAAGTATAAGGGGGGACGTGCACAGTTTGTGGGGACTGGCTTTGCACAAGCTTACTTAAATAAAATATAACCATCAGACACACAATACTGGCATTGAGAGATCCAGGTTTGAAAATCACATTCCACAATAATTCATTAAGTGAACCTAGGCAAATCCTTCCCGTTCGAACTGAGTAGGAAGTCACCCTAAGGTGCCCAGTGCTCCACTCACCTCGGTAGTGCTCCATTCTAGTGTGATGGGTAATACCCTGTGATCGAAAGCTGAGGCTCAGAATGTAGCGCGGATCAGAGCTGTCACGAACCAGGAACGATCCATCTGGCTTCCCCTTTAACTTCATCTCGGCATCTTCCCAGTTCATAGGGCCCCAGTACCATCCACACTGATTTACGAAAATATTCATTCAATAATTTATCTAAGAATCCGATTCCAACATTTAAAAGAAAATTCAAACATTGGAGCATATTTTTTTAAAGAACCAATTCCAGATGCTCAGAATGCTAAAATATAGCCTAATTATCTAAACTGATACCTGCAGTTGACCTGCCAGAATTTCAAGCCAGCATGGCAACTGCAATCCCTCACTTTGAGCCAGAAGACTAACATCTGCCCATTTCCTTCCAGATGACAAAAAATTAACAATCATCTTTGACATTTTGAAACACAGCATTCTATTTCTCAGAACAGCTTTTTTAAATAAAGCAAGATTCATTGATCCAACATTGCCTGATGTGTTCTCCCCTTTATTTATATTGAATATGCAAACTGACACTGTATTAAACAGCAAAATAAATAGCAAAACAACAGGGCCATGTGTAGCTTATCCATTCGAACTAGTTTTCATCTTGCACACCAGTAGCGCATATCCTGCAAATCCATTTGGTTGTCAGTCCTCTTGACTTTACTTCTTTGTTTTCAAGGAGATCAAAGCATCATCAGAAAAAAGAAAAGCAGCTTAAGGACCTTTACTGAATAAATAAATAAAAGCCTTACTTTTTCCAACTCTCGTAAGCTAGCTGCAAAACTGCTTGAATCAGGCCGATAAAGGGGGCACTGAAGGTGCTGTGCAGACTGACTATGTACCGCTTCGGATGCTCTGATTGGGAGTATCCGGGGAAATGCCTCTGGAGAAGAAAAGAAAACAAAATGGATTCATTTCGACATTTCATGGAATTATTTCATGTGCCCTGTTCCCTGAATGCTGTCTTGAGTCCCCAAATTCAGCAATTCAGTTTAAAAGCCCAGCAACTGGCAACATTTACCATGGAAATTCAGGAAAGCTTTAGGAGCAAAGCTGAACTGACCAGAGGCATGTGGTGGAGGCGGTGGAGGCAGAGGAAAAGACTGGAGCGACGAAGACCCCATCGGATTCACTAAGACAGATGCAGGCAGTGTCCCACTGATATCGTCTAGAAAAAGAACCAAAAAGGTTAAGCGGTCCAGGAGATATGAAAAGCAACAGAGTAAAAGCTTATGCTGGGCTCTCTTTCTCTGAGCATCTGAACATCCATCTTTGCTGGCTACATCAATAAAAAATATGTGCATAGACAAACTTGTGGAAGTTATTCATATCTAGTTGGCGTCTATTACGTTAAATGCCACCATTCAAAAAGAAATATTGTCAGGGTTGCCTCATCTTACATCTATCAACATTCTGGATAATATATATATATATATAGAAGCAGTAGGATTGAAATTACTGATTTTTTTAAAAAAATATTTAATGTGGTAGGCTTTATAATATATATTAATTAATTAATTAAAAAGCCTATCACATTAAATATTTTTTTTTAAAAATCACTAATTCCAGTCCTACTGCTTCTATAATTGTGATGCATCTCTGGGCAAACCAAATTTTATTGATTCCTCTAGTTATAAAATATTGTCTAGTCCAATATAAGTAAATAATGTTCCCTGGGTGGCTTCAAATGCTCAGAACTGTTAAAGGCGGAAGCACAAGATTACATAATTTTATTGCAGCATTAACCAGCATAAGACATAAACGAGTAGACCTTCTTACTGTCCACATAGGATTAAAAAAAGACAAAGAAAAAGTTGGACAGAATCTGAGAAACTGAAGGGAGTACCTCTGAGCCAAACATTCAGAAAGGGAAGCAAAAGAGCTGTTAGTGTCCTTCACATCATGGCTAGCAGAAACAGAGTTATGAAAAACATGCAAATTCACATGATTTATAGAGTTGAAGAATTTAGTTCTGAACGTGGACTGCATAGTTTAGGATTTGAGAATAAGAAAGAAAACAGAATAATTACAGGACTGAGAATATATACAAAGTTACTGCTTTGAAATCATTCCCATTTAAAAAAAAATGAGATTGGATTGTATGGTATAAAGAATTCCAAGGAAATCCACTTAATGGTAGTCCTTCTTTAATGACTGCCTCATATAGCCACCATATGAAGTTATGACAGTAATGAAAAAGTGTCTTTACAACTTCCATTTACAACTTTCTCAAGTTTGTCAAGTGAAAGAAAGCTGAAGTAAGATCATAAGTACGATTGCAGTTTACTTAGTGACTGTGACTGAGTTGTCATTCCCAACTGTGGTGACTAAACGAGGACTATCTGTATTCAAAGGTACTATCTCAAGGGCGAAGAATATGGCCATCATCCTTTTCTGCAGAAAGATGCTAATGGAAATAGTTTGGAAAGAAGGCAGAAAAAGCAAGCAAGCAATACCCAGAAGGCTGAGGCTTCGTCGTGGAGGAGGTGGAGGTGTGGGAGGGTGTGGGGATGTCAGGCCACGCTGAGAGATATCAACATCTACCAGCGATACTGTCTCACCTAGAGAGAGAGGGGGGGGGGAAAGAAAAAAATGCTTTAGAGACTAATGCAAATGTAACTTCACCTCTAGCACATTTGAGAGTTATTGTTTATATTAGAAGTGCAGGTCCAATATAACCAGACAGAACGATCTCTGACCCCAGGCATATGCCATGGTTGATTCCTAATTAAATTTGCTACAATGTAGACACACTGGCTATTCTTGAAAGGTGTTCTAAAACTATCATCAGTTAAATGAATGGCAACCAGATTGCTTTCTGTGCTATGTATTTCAGATGATAGTGATTAAGAAATTGATCAGCTTTCAGAGATCTTTCTATATCAACCAAAATAATTGCCTAATAGGAATATAAAACAGAGCCTTTTTGTGGTAACACAATGGCTATGAAAGTCTCGTCCAAAGGAAAATAAGCTACTTTCACCTGCCATGACTTTGGACAGTCACATGTGTCACCTCATTTTAAGGAATTTAACTGAAAACAGAAATTTTTAATTCAGCTGAATACTGAAAAGATTGTAAAAATTGTTATCTTTTAATATTCTTTGTCTCGTGAGCTATCTTGTGGGCCATTTTTAGAGCCAAAAGCCATTATATAAGTAAGGTCATTTCTTTTGCTTATGAATAATTAAACTATTTAGCTGACTCTCAAACTTGCTGAAGCAAGTTTTGCTAAGGGAATATCTGGGCCAAATACTGGACTTGAAACAGTATTTAATCTGTATCTGAAGGCACAGAATAGTCTTGTATTTCATATATGTATGTGAATATCCACTGCTTATTTTCAAAAGATTTAAGGAGCAAAGAAGACACAGCCTTGACCAGCAGATTTTTGTTTATAACCACAAATAGCAAAGACAATTCTCACAAAGAAAACGCCTTTGTGAGTTGGGCTGGGGAAATAATCCCCGATTTACAATAGTTCACTTAGTAATCATTCGAAGTTACAACGGCACTGAAAAAAAGTGAGTTATAACCCTTTTTCACACTTATGACCACTGCAACATCCCCATGGTCATGTGATCAAAATTCAGACACTTGGCAACTGATTCATATGTATGACGATTGCAGTGACCTGGGGTCATGCAATCACCTTTTGTGACCTTCTGATAAGCAAAGTCAATGGGGAAGCCAGATTCATTAACAAGTGATGTAAAATGGGGCAAAATTCACTTAACAACTATCTCACTTAGCAACAGAAATTTTGGGCTCATGAATCTAGAGATTTGACTCAATTTACCAGATGGAGTACTATATGATTAAACATTTGTTTGAATATGGTTAAAATAATAGATACACTAGGGATATAAAGGGGCTCTACAGTAAGAGGAACAAGATATACAAGTAGTATAATATTTCTTATAATATATGAAATGTAAAAATATTGGGATGGTGTATGTGGATGGAAAGTTTGGACATTTAAAGGTAATTAACTTTGAGAAAATTATGACTGATAAGAATGGTTTGAATATAGTGGGGAAATTAAGCTTAAATAAGAATCTTGAAAACAGGACATATAGTGACTTAGCAAGATAACTTTTATAAAAACAATTGAAACATACGCTGATCAGAAAAGATGTTATATGCGGATATTACTGTTATTTGTACAAACACAAGAAAAATACTTATATCCAACATTGTATGTATCAAAAATATTAAGAACTACTGGAAGAAGAGAAGATCAAAGCAATATATCATTAATCAATATATTGATTATGGAACTATAGAAATTAATTATTATTGATTGTTTTTTAAATATAAGAACCCAGACAACACACTGTTTACCAAGCACTAAAGACTGCTATTGTAAAAAATCAATAAAATATATTAAAAAAAATTGGGCTCAATTGGGATTGTAAATCAAGGATCACCTGTATAATATTCTATCTCACACTGAAGAAAAGATACTCCTGTCATATGGAACAGCAATGTGTCCAATATTGAGAACAGCTTCTGGATTTATGTCTGCAATCCAAATACTTAGTAGGTATAAAACTTCAAGCACCTTGAAACGCTGACCATAATTCCCCATCCCTGAGTTCCCAGACATATGCAAAAGCTGAAGGAAAGAAAGATTCAAGAACAACCAGAGCTAAATGGCTAACTGGAACAGATAGAAGGCAGATAGTTTCCAAATTTCAAAGCCGGGTCTCAATATTGCCCAGATATATCAACAACTGGTGAGCTTTCAGCTAAATGCATCAAATTTTGGTGATATTTCAGAATAAAAACAATAAAATATAGTGCAATTTGACACATTTTTTTTAAAAAAAATATTGTTTTCTTGGAAAGATTAATGTGTGCTCTTTATGCAAAACTGTGTAACCAAATTATGTCCTTGGAGCTGGAATCATAATATGCTCTCTGGATTCCAACCATGTCATCTGTCCAGAAGGAAAAGATGCTTTTAATATTTTCACCTTAAAATTGTTGGACTTTACCACAAATTCTCCAGGACATGCCCTGCTTGCTATTATATTACTTAGAAATTAGAAACATTTTCTTCTTCATGTTTCCTTGGCTCTAATTCTATGGTAGATTTGGGATTCTATGGGAAATGCTAACCTCTTCATGACACTAGTATATGTATTTTAATCTGAACTGATTCTGTGTAATCTCAGCTGATTTCAGTTAGGTTTTTGTGTCTTCGGCTAAAAACAAGGACATGTTTTTTTAGAAATCAGATGATAGGCAGAGAGATTGCTATCCCAGTTTGGGCAACAGGATTCTTTTGTATTCTAGGAGAGAGACCTAATCCAATACATAGCAACAGCTACTAATATTCTATTTTATGATGGACTTGACATTGGGGAAAAGTTGAAACAGCTAGACAATCTCTCATTCAATTTATTCTGTGAACCTTCTGTGACATTGGGATAGGTTCTTTAAGAGAAACCCTAAGACAGTCTTCCCCTATGATATCTGCAGATTATCAGACATGAAGTTCAATACCTGAATATTATCAGGTTGGGGAAAGCTATTCTACAGAAGACTTTGTTGATTGTGGATGAGAAAATATATAATATATTCATGATATTTCTTAATATTTTTGTTAAAAAAATCAGAATCACTCCAAAGTAGCTATTTTTTTTAATCAATAGCATTACTCAAAGTCTAATAGCTACATATTATGTATGCAAACTTGAGTAAAAATATAGGGCTTCCTTCAATAATAATGAAAGAGAAAAAGAAGCCTCAGGTTCAACACTCACCTGTGAAGAGGGGACCAAAAGCAACTGGAGAAAAGGCACTTTGTGTTCGCATCAATCTTTGTTTTCTACAAAAATACAGACAAAAGGGTCTATAAATAAAGATACATTTGCATTCATCTCTTCTTTTATCTATATCCACAATAAGATGTTGTATAAACACTAAATACTTTTGTTATGACCTGAGTGAATATGTATATACACAGCCAAAATGTGTCATGGGTGAAAAGAAGAAGCCAAACCATGACTTTTCAGTTTAGCTAATCTAGAAGTCCAATTTCAGAGAGAAGCATGGCTTTATTAATAGATTTTTCCATAATAATTTAATTCTTTATTTAGCATGCTTGAACTTCTATTAACACTAAGCCTTCTGATTCAAAAGTGCTATCCCAAGATATTTTGCTGTCTAAGAAAAAAGAGGAAATGCATCCATGTCAAAAAGGCACAACACCCAGGGTCAATTTGTCTCTGCTCATCCTCATTTTACACACACACACACACAGAGAAAGGGGGGGAGGGAGGGAGGGAGGGAGGGAGAGAAAGAGAGAGAGAGAGAGAGAGAGAGAGAGAGAGAGAGAGAGAGAGAGAGAGATCAGAAAAAGGAAATCAAAGAAAAAGAAAAAAGAAAAAGAGATGAGGCTGCAGCAGATTCATTTAATAGGTGCTTTACTTTCCTGCTTCTGTGTCCAGAAAGGAGAAGGCCTAATTACAGATCCAGATAACAATGCAGAATGAAATGAGTAAACTATCTTAATTAGTTTGACCCACAACCCAGGTAAAGTGCTAGATTTAGTAATCAGGTAGTTTAGCATGTTCATAAATGTGGTCATTGAGGGCACTGAAACACAAATAAGGACAATTAAGAAAATAGCAGCTTTTTTTGCAGCATTAATTTATCAGGATTTTTTTTTTGTCCTATCCATATTATGATAGATTTATGTGTCCTTGACCATACCAGGGCCAGTCCCTGTTTCAATTCTTGAAACCAAGAATTGAAAGAGATCTCACGTCACAGGAATGGAAATGTGGTTCCTTTAAAGTCAACTAAGAACCTCAGCAACCCCCATTTTCTTCAATATGGGAAGGAGGTTCTCTTAAGAGGTTCTGGCTTGTAATTCTTGCCCCCTCCAAATACTAGCCATGCTGATTGGAGTAGAAGGGAGCTACCCAAGACCTCTGCTCCCAATGCTTTCTGCTGTAACTGGAAACAATTCTTCAAGAAGGACACAGTTGTTGGTTTCTTCACACTACAGTACTGCTCAAGTGCCTGATCAGAGATTCCTGAGATCTTCTGTGTGTAAAATATATTTAACACTGAGTTATAAAGGATCCGCCTGAATGTAAATTAACCAGCCACTGTAACCAAATTCTTGCAATTGAACATTAATTTATGAATCTAGTTGGCCAAAGTGGGAAATGCACATTAATTCGAACCCTATTTCGAATCAGCAATAGCACATAGGCTTGATCAAATCAAGGCTAAACAAAATAAAAGCAATAGTTTTATGTAGCACATTGCAGTCTCTGCCAACCTGGCTCCTTCCAAAGCTAAAGGACTATAAGACTCAAAAGAGAAGTGAATGAAGAGAATGGCAGTCCAACATATCTAGAAGCATACTGTAAAAAGCAAAATGGAAAACTTTGTTGAAAAAAAGAAACAACTAAGCCAAGTGAACTCCATCACTCTATGCATGTATTTTAATCCAGAGCCAGAAAATTTAGTCAGCACTTTACAAAATTCAGTATCTTTTCCTTGCAAATTTGTATAAATATTAAACCACAAACTATCCCACTACCTTTTACCCAAACAGGATGAGCAACACAGCTTGTGGTTAGTTTATATTTTAAAGTGGTATGTGAACCTGTAAAGTGGACAGATTAAACTAACCAATGCTGTGTCAGCAGGCAAAATCAATCTATGAAAAAATCCATATGAAATCTCATAGAAATAGTAATAGGTTGTCTTAATTTATTGACATTTCAGAGCTGTGGATGAAAGAAACACTTTTTCTGAATGAATATTTCTTTTCTTAAGCAAGCTCAGAATCACAAATCCTTCCAACGATTACTAGAAATTGCCAAAGGCCTTTCTATTAAAGAAGTCCACCTCCAGTCATTTCAGAGACATCTGCAGAAGGTAACAAATGACAAAAAAATGCATGTTATAAACACCTGATTTATGTACAAATTCCCAACACTGGATGCAAGGCTTGAGTTGCACTGTGACATAAATTTCATAATTTTTATCACCCTGATTTGTGTCACACACACATACTGCAATTTGCAAGAAAAAGTCCCCTAGTAAGCAAGTTCCCAGCACTGCAGCTTTCCCTGCATTCACAATCGTACAGGCAGAGGTGGGACAGGAACCTTAGTTCCTATTTCTTTTTATATTAGGTCCCTCAAGGGAAACAGTTGGGAAAAGTGGCTCAGACCATTTTCAAAGGACTAAGGAACATGTAACCAAAGAACCAGTTTGGTGTAAAGGTTAAGGCAGTGGTTCTCAACCTTTTTAATGCCGCGACCCCAACCGGTCGTAAGTCGAGGACTAAACTGGTTGTAAGTCAAGGACTAAACCGGTTGTAAGTCGAGGACTAAACCGGTCATAAGTCGAGGTCTACCCAACCGGTCGTAAGTCGAGGACTTTCCCTGCCCGGGAGCGCCGCGCATGCATGGTTCCGCCCCCTGCGCCGGCCGAGGCGTAGCTGGCAAGCGGCAGAGATGGAGCAGGCCGACCACCAGCTGGCCCAGCCCAAGGGAGGTAAGGCACCTGCCGGAAAAGGGGAAAAAATGGCGGACAAAAAAAATGGCAGACAAAAAAAATGGCGGACAGCCTTGCTTGGCGACCCCCGTGAAATGGTCGATCGACCCCAAATGGGGTCCCGACCCACAGGTTGAGAACCACTGGGTTAAGGCATCCGGCTAGAAACAGGATGAGTTCTAGTCCTGCCTTAGGCACAGAGCCAGCTGGGTGACCTTGGGTCAGCCACTTTCTCTCAGCTCAAGGAAGGAGGCAATGGCAAATCACTTGCCAAGAAAACTGTAACTATCCAGGTAAGTCTCCAAGAATTGGACAAGATTGAACAGAAAAATTCACCAAGAATGAAACTGGCATTCAGATGCAAAGTCATAACTATTCATTTTTCTATTTAATTTAATTTAATGTAAGTTACTGAAGCAGTAGGCCTGAGCTTAAATGGACTCCAGAAGATGGTAGAGGACAGGAAGGCCTGGAGGAATGTTGTCCATGGGGGCGCGATGGGTCGGACACAACTTCACAACTAACAACAACAAAAGTTTTACTACTTTTCTTTACAACTGGGCAACCAAATTGTAAAAGCTATTTACGCTGATTAGTAGCAACACTCCAAGATCCCAAGTAAAACCTTTGCTGCACTGTGTGCAATCTGAACCTTTTTAACTTGAGATACCAAAGACTGAATAATGGGACAATATATACAAGGCAAGGCATATCCACCAATGAGAAGTAATGGTAGAATATGGTCAGTGAATTCCTTCCAACAGGCTTGAGAATACACAATCACAAATACAACTGGATCCTTTCAATTTCAAACTCTGGACAAAAACAGCCAATATGGAAGCCTTGAGATATTTTCTCTTCAATATCTGCACTACTGAGGACTTGCCATGCCAGCTGGGACTACACACCAAAAGAACTGGAGGTGCATCCTCGGAGTACAAAGACTGAATATAATAATAATAATAATAATAATAATAATAATAATAATAATAATTATTATTATTATTATTATTATTATTATTATTATTATTATTATTATTATTATTTAAAAAAAAGGCATCAAACACTTCTCCAAGTATTTGACAATTCCACAACCGAGGCCAAAGAGAAGGAGGCTGAAGGAGGCAGCAGTTTCCATATCCACTTTGCCCACCCTAATCCCCCCTTTCAATCTGCCCTCTACCAGATTGATGCAGCGGAACACCAGCGTGCTCAATTCTCCTTCCTTAATCCATATTCCAGCGGCCCAGCGGCCCCTCACCTGCTCGAGTCCTGTTCCCGGTAGCCAGGTTGAGACACATCGGGGAGGCTTCCTGCCGTGCCCGAGGGGGCTGGGGCAGTAGCGGCTTGAAGAAGTTCCCTCTCTCCTATCCGGCGTGCTCCAGTGGCCGCCCCGGGGTTGCAGGATGGCCCACTGCAGCTCTTGGTGCGGAAAAGGCGGCTGAGGCGAATCTTCAACGAACCTTTCCTGGAGGGGGCCGAAGAGCTGGGGCGGGGGGTAGCAACGGCGGATGCCGGGCCTGCCGAAGGAGCAGCAGCAGCAGCAGCAGCAGCGAACACCGGGAGGGCTGCAGCGGGCAAAGGAACGCGGCTGCTCCCCGTACTGGCGTTACTGGAGGGCTCGGCCTGCCCTGCAGCCGTCTCCTCCTCATCTTCCTCGTCAGGGCCCAGAGCTTCTAGGACCAGCAGGGCGTCGCTGGTCTCCTCCCCTGGGGGTAATAGGGACAGAGTGGGCGGCGGGACCATCGCCGGCTGAGGCAAGAGGTTCATGCAGGAGCAATCGCCGGAAGGTTTGCCCAGCCCTCCTAGCACCGTCGAAGGCGCCTGATGAAGCCCCAGAGCCGCCAGGTGTAACTCCAAGCCGGCTCCCGGAGAGAAAATGAAGCCACCCGGCGTTCCGCTCCAGCATCGTCCTCCTCCCAGATCGCCCTTCGGAGCATCCAGGAGAACGCACCGATGCCTAGCGCACAGGAGCTCCGACGGCGGTGGCTGAGGCAGTGGCGGCGGCGGCGGCGGCAGACAGCCGGCTGGGGACCCTGCCGAAGGTTCTCCAGTTTCTCCAGGGCGGAAGACCAGAAGCTGCGAGCCCCGCAACCCGCCCGCCCTTCCGCGATCCCGAGTTGCAATAGCTGCAGTCTCTCCAACAGCTCTGGCCAGCCCCAAGTCGGCTGCGGCTGACTCTGCTCCGCCGTATCCCAGCAAGCGACTCAGCACCCGATAAGAGGCCGCAGCTGCTGCAACCGCCTCACCGCCGTTGTCACCTCCTCTCCCACTGCCTCCTCCGGGCTCTGCTGCTGCTGCGGCCGCTCCTCCTCCTCCGGCCCGTTGCATCGCGCTAAGGGAGGCGGTGCATTGCATGAAGCAAAAGATTAGGCGTCTTCAGCCAGCAACCTGGACTGGGAGGCCGACTGGTCCAGATCGGCTACCCAGAGCTCAAAGCTTTCCCTTCCACCCTTGCTTGCTTTGGGGCCCGCCCGAGTAGGGGGTGTGCACGCCCTCCGACTTCCCTTTCCGCTGATGCGCCGATGATGCGATCTCCAAGGCGGCCAACCCTCTTTGCACTGCACGCACTCCTCCCACAGCCTTTCCCCCTAGCTAGCCTAGCCCGTCTCTTTCCCAGCTGTTTTTTTTTTCAGCTATAGGGGCTCAGCCACGCCCCCTATCGCTTTCAGACAGCATCTGGGGAGAATCCTCCTGCTTTTTTTTTTAACAAGTCCATCCCAAACTTTGGATGCTCGCACATGTGTGGCCGTTTCGGAAGGCAATGTGTTTTTTCCCTGCTTAAAAGTTGCTTTAAGAAACGGGAGGGGTACGACTGAAAAGCAAGCCTTAACTATTCCATTTATGAAGCAGAATGAGCGCGCAATAAAACGTTTGGCTGGAATATCCTTTTTGCAAGGTACACCGAAGCAAGGACTTAATAGCTCTCTCAAGGCTGAGGAGCTACACTGTGGTTGGCTGGCTTGTGATTTAATGTATGCTGTGAAAATGTTCTTGAAATAAAGGACATGTTTAGAACATCTTTTCCATGGTCAGAGGCTGAACTAAAGACTGAGATTGAAATAAATATCAGCCCACCTCATAGGATGGTTGTTGTGGGAAAATAGAAGCAGGAAGGAGTACATTATTGGCCATGTTCGTCCCCTTGCATTACTTATTAAAAAAACAACAGATGGAATATAAATAAAAATACATCTCCTAATTATATATTATTGTTCCTGTCCCAGTGCAATTAAGAGGGAAAAAATATCAAGTGGTCATGTAATGATTTTTAGGAGTTTTCTTCCCTGCCTAATGCATAGATGTGGCTTACAAATATATCTTAAGACTCAATGAGAAGAGTACAATCTGCAGCTTTCCTTAACAGAATGGGACAATTCGCTGCAGCCAACTCGCCAGGATCAACTTGCCACAGCCAACTTGGCGCAGGACTACTCACCCTGGCCACCTCTCCACGGGACAACTCTCTGTGGGACAATTCAACAATTCAATTTAATTATTTAAAATAATTAAAACATTATTTAAATTTTGGCACTCACATTTCAGTTTGCCCCTCCTTTGGCATCCTTTCTTTAATTATTCTATTCCACCATTTCTTCGATATTAGTGAAACTCTTGTCCTGTAGCAAGTTGCCCTGCGATAAGTTGGCCATGGTGAGTTTTCCCCCAGCAAGTTGGCTGCAACAAGTTGGCTGTGCCAAGTAGGCCATGGCGAGTTGACCATGGTGAGTTGCCGTAGACCCTTTCTTAGATCCTGGATCACCCAGGACAGTTCTAAGAATCAGGATGGATCATGCAATCTATGATTTTAATAATAACTTCACATACCATCTATCCCTGCCAAGGAATTATACATCTAAATTCATAGCACACAAAAATGTTTTAATTCAGACCTATACCTCAAAAAGTCACCATGTATAGGAAGTACCTGAACTTCAGAGAAAAATAGTCTTTAGCGAATTCATTTAGCTCCTAACTATATATTTTAAAACCCAAGATATGATACGGTAAATTCGATAACTCCAATAATTTCTTATAGATTATAAACAGAGATTTATATATATTTATAATTTAAACTTAGTTCAATTAAAAACCCTTTAACAGTAACAAAATAACAGATATATATTTTCAATCAGAATAATTACCATGGTAGGTAGAGGGAAGAATTTATGATTTCCTTCTGTCCTGTTGTTGCCAAGGAAAATCTATTGTCCACTAGGAACTGGCAGGAACATGTCCACCAGCAAATACAAGTTTTCTCATCCAGCCCACATAAGTCTCATCTGCATGGCAATACATAATCCTTTAATTACAGGGGTCCCCAACCCCCAGTCCGTAGACCAGTACCGGGCCACAGCATGCCAGAAACCGGTCCACGCAAGCAAGCAAAGCCCCATTTGTGTTATGCAGGCAGTACATGAAACAACACCCCCTCCGGTCCGCAGAAAAACCTTTGTCCATGGAATTGGTCCCTGGTGCCCAAAAGGTTGGGGATGCTTTATTATATACAACATCAGTAGAAGAGTAGAAACAGAAACCTCTAGATTGTACAGCATTCTCTTGAAGAACAAGCCATAGCTTATTGCATTGCATTCCTAGCTTGTTAGGATTTTTAAGTGATAAATGTATCTAAGAGGGCTTTCACTCAACTTCATCTAGTATACTGCCTATATCCCCATCTATGTTAATTAAATCAGGCATTGACCCTACCTAATTGATTAGATTTGCCATATGCTATGCATGACTCTACATTTTTAAAAAAACTGGAAGGCTCAGCTTGTATAAACACAATGCCATAGCAGTTTCTGGTGGTTGCTTTTGAGTGTATATTACTCTGAACCTTTTTTATCTATACTATTTTACCATCATTATTCCAAGTTCAGATGAATTCTGAGTTTTACAAATAAAGGCTATGATTTGGTTCATGGATTGCACCAAACTATGATAGACCAATTAATTTGATTCATCACAACAATCTAAGCCAAAACCAAATGAATCATTTTTTGGCTTAGCATAATACATGAACCCAACCTAAAAGTAATGAGACCAAAATACTTGGAAGATCACATCTACTCATAATTTCCAACAAACTGCAATATAGTCAGAAGTTTCAAGGGGTGGAAAAAATAGTTGGAGGAAAGAAAACTGCCCATGTCACTCAACATAAACTTAATTACGTTCTACTGTATTTTGTGGGTTCACATGATACCCTGCACCATAGGATCTGTGTTCAGATAATACAGTAGACAAAAAATATAGTTGGCTATCTTGTGATTAATCCTTAAAATGACTATACAATTAAAAGATGATGTAACATTTGAAAATATTTTGTGTTAATCCAGAAGATAGAATCTGAACTATCGGATAAAATGAAAATAAAAAGGATTACAACTAAATATTAGCAGGAAGTCTCAGAAAATATTTTCATAATAGAACAGATTGCTGAAAAGGTTGTGGACTCCTTAAAGATTTTTAAACAGGGGTTGAATGGCCATCTGTTGAGGATTCTGTCATTATTTCACTATCCTTTCCATATTTTGCTAAAAGAATTCAAGATGTTGCTCCTTTACCAATGGCCGGTGACCTCAAAACCTACATTTTGGCATACATTTTAGGAACCAAGTTTTATGAAATGAGTGCTAACGTAGAATGGTCACTGGCCATTGTGGAAAATAGTTTGACAGATTAATCCTGGCATCTTGGCAAAAATAACCCCTTTCTCCCTTTATTCTAAGCCTAGTCTTTTATACAGTTAAAGTAGAAATTGACAAGAATAATGACCTTTATACAAGTGTTTTTCAGGAACTAATTGGAATGAATGGTTCCCAAATAGATAATTCATTTAGGAATAGTGCAGATAGCAGGATCCAGCTGACTGCTCTATAAGAAGGATGTAACTACTAGTTTTTGGTGTGATGTAACAGTGTCTCTGAAAGCCTCTGGTAAGTTAATTCCATGATAAGATATCTAAATACCGTAGATAGAATTAATTTTCTTTTTTCAAAAAGGCTCTTCCATATACAGGTGGTTCTCATTTAAGGACTACTCATTCATTTTGAACTTGCAACGGCGCTGAACCAGTGGTATCTATGGCTGGTCCTTGGGGATCCAGCCATGACAGCATCCTGCAGTCCCAGGATTGTCCTAAGCAAAATCAACAGGAAAGTTATCGGTAATTTGGAAGCCATGGTCTTGGAAGACATGAGGTCTTTGCTTAAGGATCCTTACAATCCTCACTTTATGACAACAACCAAGACTGCGGGAACTGCGGTCACAAATGGTCGTGTGAGGTTGCGCTTTACCACTTTGTTGCTTAGCGGCAGCAATTCCAGTCCCAATTGTTGTTAACCAAGGATTAGTAGTAATCCTTTTTATATAACAGTGTAACAACATTATATAAATAACTATAGAAGCAGCACTTTTCAACCAAATGCGTTTAGGAAGAAATTCAATATTAGGTAATTATAAGAATTGCTAACTAGACATATGATGTCATAGCTGGAACATTTTGCCTGATTAGACTGAGTAACTGACATTGTTTTCTTAGAGAGGCTGGCTTTCACTTATCATTCACATTCTATAAACCTGGGAGATTTGTGTATGTATGTGTTTTTGTTTCTATTTGCCTGTGTCTGTGTTGTAGATGGAGTACAGTGAAGTGGCAATTTCCCAGGAAGAAGAGAGCACATTCTAAGGAGGAGGGCAAGACAAGAGGCAAACAGCTTGGAACTGGAACAGAAACACAAGATCCATTAGGATGAGAGGAGTATAGGTTAGTCTGGAAAGATTCCATCTTGTGTGAGCAAATACAGATAGTCGTCAACTTAAAACCAGAATTTATGTTGCTAAACGAGACAATTGTTAAGTGAGTTTTGCCCCATTTTACGAACAGTTGTTAAGTGAATAACTTCAGTTGTTAAGTTAGTGCAGGGGTAGTCAACCTTGGCTCTTAGCTGGCTCAGGAATTCTGGGAGTTGAAGTCCACGAGTCATAAAAGAGCCAAGGTTGACTACCCCTGAGTTAGTGGCACGGTTGTTAAATAAATCTGACTTCCCCATTGACTTTGCTTGTCAACTGACACGTACAAATGACGGTTGCAGTGTTCCAGGATCATGTGATCATCACCTTTTGCGACCTTCTGATAAGCAAAGTCAATGAAGAAGCCAGGTTCACTTAATAACCATGTTACTAACTTAACAGCTACAGTGATTCACTTAACAACTGTGGTAAGAAAGGGGCTAAACTCACTTAACAACTGTCTTGCTGAACACATAAATTTGGGGCTCAATTGTGGTCGTAGGTTGGAGACTATCTGTATGCATTTGTTTATA